GGAGTACAATGATTACATAGACCTAGACCTGTTGAGTGAGACAGGTCAGGCTATAGCCCCGGCCTCGCCTGCATCTTGCATTTTCGCAGGGAGCAGCAAGTGTGAGTGATTGAGAGATCCCCTCAAGACGTAGCTGTCATCTGGTGTCGCAACAACTGATGCGGGCGCGAAGACAGGCATCAGTAGCTACGAGGGCAAGGGGATCGGGTGCCCAAAGAAACCACCGGCCTAGCCGTGTAAGAATACTTTGCGCATTGGAACCTGCATCGATTATCTTCCGCTCGTACCCGTCGACTTCCGCCTGCATGTACAATCTGCACTATCGTCCTCGTGGGGTTTTGAAAGGAACACTACTCCTGTCCAAGAGGGGGGCTGCGATTTATCCAGGCGCCCGCCTTCGGCGAGCGGCAACATCGACGTCGCATTTGCCGGGTCGATCATATCCGCCCACATGGAGGCCCTTCCATGCGGCTCCCCGTCGGTGAGCACCCACTGAGTTGAACACAAGCTCAATTCAGCACAGCATGGTCATCAACAACGCGTATCATGTCAAACGCTTCCATGATCCTTTTCAAGAACCCATTTTTGGGGTCGGGATATTTGTATTGTATTCGACAGCATCGCCAAGCTGCGGGTAGAAAGAGCAATCTCATTTCTCGTCATATGGTTCCTTGTATGACATGAGAGGTGATTCAAAAGCACCATGAGGCCAGTCAATGACCAGTGCAATCAGTAAAAATCCATGTAAATTGCCACAAAAGTACCGGTAAGTCGCCATCTCGAGTCCTGTGACCGGGACTATCGACTGTTGTATCACACCTCTGCGATACGAGAGTTCCGGCTGGAGGGACCTGGGGAGATAGCCACGTCGCTGCAGCAGAGAAAGAACGCGACCCTTGGTACACCAGTTCCCTTTGCTTCACGAGGGCGCTACCGAATGGATGGTAGAGGCGTGGAAGCGGCACGGGTCGCTGTCTGGTGCTATGTAACCGACACTCGCCGGTCTTGATCCAATGCATTCCCCCGTACCGACGCAACTAGTGCATCGTGGGATGGCCAGTCGCACCGCGAGCTGCGAGTGCTGTCGCTCCCTTTCGTACGTAATTGAGATGGCAAGATAGCCTTAGGCCCCATCGCTTCGCCAAATGTCCTCGTCATGACACCTACATCCGGCGCTGCCGCACCAGCATCGCGGAGAAGATAGGGCCCTGATATCGCGTCTCAATTGAAGCTCGCGCTCGGTCTGGAGACAGAACAGGTTCTCTCTGCATGCTCCATTCTCGCCTTCGACTACAAGACTCTGATATCGGAACCTACACGGAACTTATGTGGCGGTCGCAATGCCGTACAATTCTGCGAAGTTTTGGAGCAGCAAGCCGTTTGTGTATCGTTTAGCGAGACAACGTCCTTTCAAGTCTCCGATTGAATATCACAGCCGACTCATGAGGCAATGGGGTGATTATCAATGTGTCAATTGCGAAGGAACCCAAGCAACATCGAGAAATCGACATGCTGGTTCGCAAATCGTATGTTGGCTTGGTGGTAAGCTCGACGGTACCCTCCCCGAGTGAGTGCAAAGATTAATATTCTGACCGGCCGAGCATTGCCAGGTAGGGGCTACGGATAGCTGCTTGTTAGCGGCTGCCTCACGCTTGCCTTTGTTCTCATACGCCGTGTTCGCGACATTCGAGATGAGGATCACGAACTACAGAGGCCTGTTTGCCTCGCAAACTTGACGGAGGCCACGCGAAAGGATAAGACTCTTAGAGCGCGTGGCAACACATCGTATTCCCCTGGAAGAAATAATCTGAAAGCATGCTGCCGTCATACGAGGAAGAATAGGATATTGCCTTTGTCGTTTCTTTTGACCTTGCATGCCTAAGCGCACCCGAAGGCCTTAGTACGCTCCGGTGGAGGAGACTGAAATAAACGGCGATACGGTGAAAGCGCTAGCTTGGGGCCGGACGGGAGCGTTTAATCGGCCGCTTCTGTGCTAGGAGTTGGCTGGACAGCGATGGGTGAGAGGGCAATATCACGTGCCTGGTGAACCTCCTTGACTGACTTGGTTCGCACCATCCCTGTAGTCTGTTCGTCTGTGCCGTCCGGGTGCCCATTGTTGTTGATGGTCGAAACCATAGGAACGCGGAGCCAGGATGACTATATCCTTGGAACCACTGGGAGTCCTATTTCCAGCCACACCAGCCTTTTTGGGCCTTGAATAGGGAGTTCGAGAACACGTATGTCGCAGTTGCTGTGCGCCCGAAGATAAGGTGCCTGAACGCTCACTGTCGTCTGGATACACGACGTTTCTCAGTGCGCTCATCCCTGGGTAGGATCAAACACAGGCTGGTGAGAATGAGATCCCTTCCGGGGCTCAGAGACGATATCTGCCAGTTGCTGGTGCTTACCGCTATACGGGACAGTAGCATCACAAATTCTTGGTGTAACTGTCATCAAACTCCACATGCGGATCTGCGGCGGCTTGCATTTCATCTGGTTGCGCAACCTAGACAGTCGAGTTGTTGGGCGTAAATAACGAATAATCAGCCAATAGTGAAAGTCCGGTGCGCCAAAGTCTGCTGGAATAAGCAACAATTGTGCATAGAGGACGATCGATTTGGAGGGACGAGCCGTCACCCAGTCGGATCTTTCTTTTCGGGGCCGATATCGTTGTTGTCAGTGTTTTGAACATAGACACCATCAATCAAACAGGCCGGTAATAGCGATGAGTTGCCAGCGCATGGATCAGACTCCACCGGGAGCAGGAGCAAGCAAAGGAACCGGGTTGTTGTTGCGGGGTTATTGGCGCCCGCAAAGTACATCCATTGATCTGTGGATCAGAAGAGACGCACTTGCAAAATTGCAAGATCTGTCGAGTCTCAAGGCCGACTTGACCCTTGCGCTGTCAGAGTCCCCAGATTCGTCCGAAACATGACATGATCGACGTTGGAAGGCCTCGTTTGGTGGAGATCTCACCAGAACTGGCCAAAGTGGAAGCCCGTGCGAGATTTTGGCTGTCAATGGTATCGACTTGTCTCTATCCGAAAGCAGGCATTTGAGGGACAAGGGCTGAAGGGGAATTACAGTCCACTGGAACTTAGCGTTGAGCTTGTTTGCTTTGCTCGAAGAAATCCAAAGAATTGTTTCGCAATGAGGCACCCCTCCTTTCTTTAGTTGATGGATCGGTAGAACGGTGTCTCAGTTAATCAAGATGCGTTGTTGGACACAATGAAAAAGATTCTGCTGGTTGTCGGCTTTGTAGATTGCCTGCGAGAGTCCTAATCCGGAATGTCATGCTGTCTGTCTTTGGGCGACTGGACAGTGTCTTGAAACAACTTTGCGCGCGCTAAGATTGGTAGGCTTTGGGTCTTTGTATGCCTGATATCCGTACTCAACCCCACGTATCGACGCCACGCTCGAACGTTGAGGGCTGATGCTTCAGAATAGCTCTAGCGTTGCTTGGAAAGGGACGAGAACACACCTCGGGGAGCCACGTCGCGGCCCATAACTCCGAGTATGATGTCATCTTCTGTTGATACGTTTTCGACAAGGACCTAAGAGTTCCCAAATTTGAACCGGCAGCTTATCAAGGAACTGTTGGACTGGAAGGGCTTCCATTCTATTGGAAGGGCGAAGACCACGCCAGACGCCAACTTGTTTCCTTTGGCCGTGGCTGACATTTCTCAGCTCTGCTCGAAATGAGGATCACTTCCCTTTGGGGAGGGCTATTGCTCCTTTTGTGGTGTATGAGAACGACATGCTAATCAGCAACGGTCGCTATGACTGACTTGGTAACCTAACGTCTAGGCGTCAGGTTCTTGGTGTCTTATTAGAGTCGTGGACCGTACTAATCTTGAAGCCATGAGTGGGGGATTTCCCCCAACCTCACCGTTCGGATGATGCTGACCCAACTCCGGGACTGGGGGACCAATCAAAACTGGTATGCTGAAAGCGCGATAGGGTCGTAAGGAACGGTGAAGGACAACGCGCTTTCATAAGGACAGGGATGTCATCATATAACATTTGCCGGGTTTACTGGCTGTCTCGCTTCTCGGGAGATATCCGCGGGGCAATGGCACAAGACACTATTGAGGGCGATCGTCGCCGTATGTAGATGCCGGACCGCTGTCATCTTCAGCCTCACTTGCCCCAATTCTCCGATGACTCCCTAAGTAGAGGGAGAAAAGGAATGGCTTGATTGAGGAAAAAACTAGACAAGCGAGTTTGGCCACTGCTTTGCTATTTTCTGCGTCCTGTCTTCGGTGGTGTCAACTCCCGACATCATTTGGCATGCAAGCCGCCCAGTCCAGGTGCACGGCCACCAAACTCGAGGCTTTACGGAATGGGAAGTATGTTCTGTACTTTGTCATATTTTGTGCCATTGAAGAACTGAAGTGGCGTTACTCGGTCCTGGGGTATGGCGACAGTATGCTGGCTGAACGATCGACGCAATCGGCCGCCCGTTGGCGAGCTATTGCCGTTCTGGGTCCTAATGGCTGCTGTGGCATTGTGACGTCGCACGGGGTCTGCAGACGCGGCTTGCAAATAGCAGGGAAGTGCGATGAGAGATCAACGGTGTCGAGGTCTCGGGTATTGTTGCTGTCTTCGCACTCATTTGTTCGTCTTAGACACCGGGTCTTTCGATTGGCGATTAGCGATTGACGGTTGAGCTTTGATCTGGTACAGTAAGATCAAACAGGCTGTTGAGGGTAGTGTGTCTCACTGTCTCGAACAATGGTGGAGTTATCGTCTTGGTCGGAGACATGAAGAGATATCTCGGCACATGGGTATCGTCAATCCGGCATCCGAATGTGGGCCTTGGTGTGCTGTGGCCTTGGGTTTTGGGCGTTACTGCAACAACCTTGGCAGTGAACCGCCTGCTTCAGTTGGTCATGAGTATTCAAGACGACAGGCGTCCAATGAGTGGTGGACTAGGTCGACGAGCGAACCAAGATTCCCAACGGAGGTCCGAGGAAAGACAGGGGCCTCGAGATTGTGCATTAGGTCGAAGAGGTTGCGTAAGTAGCCATTTGGCTGGCTTGACGCAGCATGAGATCCTGACAGCTGCAAAAACGAAAGTACAGGGCGGAAGAGGAGGAGGAGGTTGCAGCTAAGCAGTTGGCACATAATCCTCGTCGGAGGCGCTGGGAGGAGTACTTGGCAGGTGAAGCGGCCGTGAGTTTGGCTCTGTGCGTCTGGGTGCAGGCGTAGGCAGAAGCTGAGGGAGGTGGGATGCCGTGCGGTGCAATGCAAGGCAGGCTCAAGCTGATGCTCGTGCTGATGATGGAGGAGGCAATGCTATCGATGGTGAAGCCGTTGGCGTTTGCTAATGGATGGCACTGATGGTGATTGATGGTGGTTCCGTGAGGCGATGAGAGGAGCGTGTTGCTGCGGGTTGCACGGGTACAGGATGGTGCAGTTCCTGGGACGACGGCAGCAGTTTGTGTTTCGAAACATGGGATTCTAGAAATCGGGGGGAAGAACCACAGACGATGTTGGAGCAGCATTGATGGGAGCCAAAGAATGCCGAGTCGATCGAGGGTAGGTTGATTTACGATGTCAGGTTGCAGTGCCGTCGTGTCGGAGCATGGTCCGGGTGTGACGGGAGAGTAAGGAAAAGGCAACCTCAGTCCCAACGGCAAGGGACGTGGAAGGAGCCAAAGGAGCGCAAAGGGAGACCTTGCGCGAGCGCACCTTACCGGAAATGGAATCGACCAAGAAAGAAGAAAAAGTTACGGTAAGGTAGCGACTGCCTTGGTCTTCAGGAAAATTTACACGAGGAAGGCACAGAGGTGAGCGAGCCACGAGCGTGATGGGGACAGAACGGAGGACGTGCCTGCCGTCGGGGTGCCTGGTCACCTTAGGGCAGGTTGTCTGCCCGCGCCTGCCCTGAGCTGGAAGAAGTGGGTCAATCCCCAGGACTCTTCCTCCTTAGGTACGCAGTAAGGCAAGTCCAGTCCATTTGAGGGGACGGAAAGCATAGCCGCCCGTCGTGTGGTGTTCCCTGCCGTTCCTGCCGTCCCCATCGCCCCGCCTCCTTCCTTGTGCTCCGTCTTTTCCCACGGCCGCGGTGCGCTTCCGTGCCGTGTCAAGTGGGTCTCGGCCATTCTCTCTGTGCAGCTGGGGTGATTCCTAAGGCAACCCCCATCGCGGTAAAGTAACTTGTACATGATCTTACCTTTTACCATTGAGAGAAGCTACCTCACCTGCTACACCTCACTAAAGTGAGCTTCTATTTTTTCACCCTCCTTCAGGCAGCTCGACATGTGCTCAAGACATCAGCTCTGTGCTGTGCATGTCCTGAGATCAGCTAGAAAGAACCACCATGCATGCCTTGGGTCCCAAATTCATGCTGGGGTAAGAACGATTCTTACATAGGTGTAACGTAGGTAGATACTGGGATGCTCCGCTTCCTTGCTTCCTTTGCCTCCGACTTGGCCACGCAATACAATCCGTCTCCAAAGGATCTGATTCTGACTCGAACCTGCGTCGTCGATGCTTTCCCAGGATACCAAGGCCACTTTGACCACCATAGAATAAGACTAGAAATCGGCAAACTCACCTCATAACTTCTGTCACACCAGAGTCTAGAAGCGGCTCTCGGGGGGCTGGGACCTCCCTTGTCCGTACCTTATCATTTCCGCGGATAAGGTAAGGCAAGGTAAAGGTAAGGTAGCTGAGGTGCTCTGAGCTCTGTGCGGGAGCCCCGGGCCACTGGCCAGCAGTTTGACTGATGCAGTACGCTGCGAGAGTTTCGGCAGACGTCAACGTGTCGTTTGTCTCCTCCTGTTCGTCTCAGGAACTGCGGGAATTGCGTGTTCCCGTCAATCGTCGTGGTGAGACGCTGGGAACTCTGCGGCGCCCTGGGCGCGGCGGCGAAGGCGGCCTCTGCTCGGCGACACTTCAGCCACCTTGGCTGACAGGAGGGGGACAGCCATCAATGCTGTCGAAGCAGCAGTAGTTCTGAGTCGCTGCCTCATCCGAATCATGTTGGGAGGCAAGCGGGATAGCGCCATGAAGAAAACTGCCCAGAGGGTCTAGGGGTGATGGGAAAACTTAGGAACATAGTCTCAAAGAGGAAAGCAGAACGTGGAAACACGATGCGCCTTGGCTTCAAGTGGCTTCGGACCTTCGGACTACAACGGCCACAGCTGTTATGAATAAGACGAGGTTTGAGAAAGAAAGAGTCGTAGATGGATGACGAGCACACTTCAGGTCGGAAAGCGGAGAAGAGGACATTCAACCAAACTCTTTTTGCAAGAAGCTCATAGGATACGAAGAAATCTGAATCACGATAACGGGCCGTAAGATTGGCAGTTCGCCAAGCGTGGACGCCACTTGGTGGGTGAGCTCCTCGTCTCTGATCATATCTGCTATCCGGAGCTTCGAAGTCTTTGCTTTATCTCGGCCGATGTTCCGGTACTTTGCGTCCAACACGAATGGGACCGTTGCTAGCCAACCTACCCTGCGATGTCTCTCCATGGGCCTCGTATTTGTCCGAGTACGTACATAGCTTGCTAGTCAACTGGAGAAAGCAGTCTATGCACACAATCGTGCACCTTATACACAAAATGTTATGCCTGGGAACATGAGGACGTTGTATGTTGGAACCGGGTGACAAGTTGTCATGGTTTTGGATCTGAATCCGAATCTGAATCTGGAGCGAGACACAAGACAGGAAACAAACGCTTTGTCCGCAACCCGTGGCTTTGCAGGAGTCAGTCGTACTTTATTTTGCCTGTCACGGAGACGGGAAAGAAAAGGAAATAGCATCTGGCGGCTGTTCCTAGGTACTCTAGTCTCTGATCCGCAGTCAAGGAGACCACATGCACATTGGATACATGTGCATCAAGAGTAAGAAGCGTGCATGTTGCTTACATTGGACACTGGCAGCATATTCGGGTACCGTCTTGCCAGGACTACGTATGGCTATCAGCACAGTGTCTGAAGTTTGCATGTCACGCAATGTTCCATAGAGTCATGTCGAGAGCGTTGGCGTGTTGTAGATTGTGCTCCAAGATTCCATACAATCAAGGCAGTTCGTATATCCATATATCTGAAATCAAAGACTAAATCAAATCAGTGTAAGCAAGGTGAGCAAGTCTCGGTCAGGTATTAGCAAGAGACGAAGATTTGGAAGGGAGAGGCAAAGGCAGGGAAACCTTGAACACACCACGGAAGCCGCCCAATTGCTGGTTACGTACCTCTCTGTGTGAGGTCCAAGCTTCTTCCCGCAGGAGGAGGCAAGATACGTACTCGGTGAAAGGAGGCAGGGGGGCAAGGGCCAGGGGGGGAGATCTCACCCCATCCGCACCGTTTACTCAGGGACCCCCTGTCTCTGGAATTGCAGGGGTCTTCGTTCCCCCTGCTCGTGTCGTGCATGGTTAGGCTCGTGGCCCCACCCTATCTTTACCCTCGCCTTTTTGGAGAACTGGGGACGAGTGCGAGGTACCTTAGGTATGGATGGGAAGTTGTGAAGAAGACTTGAGAGGCAGCGAACAGCAACCTGAACCACCTTACCTAAGGTAAATTAGACCACTGACCAAGGCAGAGGCAGTGGAAGCTCTAAGGCAAGCGAGATATCGCGATGCTGCATGAAGCATGAGGCATGAGTGAGTGGCACATTTAGAGGAAGTGTGGGCCAATATGAAGACGCTATCGGCGACTTAACGAGGGCACATTGCAGCTGAAAAAGCTGCAGAATTACGGTGATCCCACGAACCAATGAGAGACAGGTAGGAGACGGAGGAGGAGGAGGGGGAGGAGGTCCTCGTAGTCGAGTCACATGGCCATGGAGAATGGTAGGCACGGAGAGATTTCCTCGAAACAAGGCGCCGAAGAATACCAGCTGAGCACCTTGAGCAAGGTGAAGCGGAGGTGTTTCTGGGTCTTATCGGTTGGCCGCCTCTTCCTTTTCCTCACGTTACACATTCATTGTTCCGTACCAAGGTCATCAGGTATGTGGGTATCATCACAAAGACAACGATTGATGAAGAACAAACATCCGTAAGGTAGGGATACCTTATTACCGTGAGGTAAGGAAGGTAAGCGACCTGATATGTGCCTCTCAAAGGAGAATGCACGGACGGCCTGTCATGGCGAGGGTAATAAGGCACATGGAGAGAGAGTGTGAGAGAAAGAGTGAGAGAAAGAGAAAGGCACAGAGAAACGGTACTTGAAACGAGGTACATGTTGGAACCGTCATCTTACCTAAGCCCACAGGCCCACGTCCAATCATCTACCGTCGCCCGAGGTACCGTTCGCTGTTGTCATCTTTTTGCCCAGGCAAGGCCCCAAGGCGGCAAGGCCCCCCCTTCTGGGCGCGGTTGACTTTCCCATCACCCCATTCGCCCTCTTGGAAAAGGTACTTTGTCTTTTTCCACCTCATCCTCTCTCACCTCCACTGGGAGTCTGGGACTTCACACATCCGAATCTGACTCTGACATGCCACTTCACCTCAATTGCCCTTCGCTCTTCGTTTGTTCCTCTGTTTCTTAACTATGTTTTTTAATTTTACCCCAAAGACATGGATTGCTCTTAGCTTCTTTTCCGCCTCTCCACCTTCACCTCCAACTCCCCGACATCATCACCTCTCGCTCGTACCCGCGGCCCCCGTGTCAACCGTGTCTTTCAACTTTGCAGTCCGTCCCTCGCTACCGAGTTCCCCCTTGTCCATCGTCTTTCCAAGCTCGTCCTCCCGCTCGCCCTTCTTCTTCGTCGTCCTCGCACACACATTCGTCCTCGGACCAATGCCTGGTCTGTTCCAACCGGCCGAGCCAATCAGCCCCAGCGTGCGAGCACATCCGCCTGCCGTCGGTTGCCCGGCATACTCCCCTACGGAGAGGCCCAAAGGAAAGTATCTCGTCCCTCTTTTGTTGATCAAGGTACAGTCCCGTCTTCTTGAGCCTTCGATTCTTCTCCCCGAAGCAACGTTCACCCCTAACCTACGGCCTATCCTGATCCCTGCACATGGCTTCTTGTTCCTATCTCAGTTCCACTGTCCACTCCACCAGCTTGGTTCGGACCTGGGTCTGATCGAGCTGATCGGATACCTTACTGCCCACAGATACGCCTGGACCCTTCTGGCCTTGCCCTGCCTTACCTCACCTCACCTTGCCTCGCCTTGCTTTGCCTCGCTGTAGAATCTTACCGTACCGTTCTATCTTCCGTGCTTGCGGAGCTTCACCTTCCACAAGGCACTTGGAAGACTCACTGTATCCATACCAAGTTAGAAAACCGTGTGTAGACATGGCATGCTGAGCATAATCCACAGTAAAGGTAGCCCGCGTCATCACCCTCTGCTCCCACTTCCTTGTCCCAGTCGCTGTTTCTGACCATTTTGCTTTTTACCACGCCAACTTGGAACGAACCGTTTACTACCGTCCCACCTCTTTGCCTTATCCGAGGGCAGGGTATCCTGTCCTTGACCAGGCCCCAGCTCAAGCTCACCAAGCTCTAGATTCAGCACACACCACCACCATCATGGCAACCATCATGACCCTCATCA